GTAGAAAGGTAAGTGGGTGGGTGGGTGGGTGTGCAGAGGGCCCTGGGTTAAGGGAACACCCCGCACCCCCACTCCCCGCTGTCACCCCATCCCTGGGGTGAGGGACACAATGCCTCCCATCCCAGGTCCCCAGCAATGCCGCTTTGATGCCTTCCTGGGGCCAAGGGAGTCCCAAGCATGTGCCGGAGGGGGCTGTTGAGCCATCCAAGGAGCCCCTGCTCCTGCGGGGATTCACTCCAGGGCCCGGGCAGCCCTTTGCCTCTCCCTGTGGGGGCCCAGTTTCCTCTGTCTGGGAAGCGGGGGCGTGGCCAGGAGGACTCGCGCACGCGAGCACACAGAGCCACGCACACAGAGCGCCAGCAAGGGATGTTCTGCCGCCTCCAGACTGAGTCCTGGTGAAGTAGAGGGCCCAGGGCCATGGCCTCGGGCAGCCCGGTCACCATGTGGCCAAGGTGTGGCCAGGCCTCAGCCGGGTGGGGCCTAAGGAGGGGCAGCGTGACCCTGGCTGAGGAAGTCCAGAGCAGGCTCGATTCCTGCCGCCTGGGGCATGGGCCCCTGCCAGGGCCCCTCCCTGCCCAGTGCGGCCCTCGGGCACACGGCCAGGCTCAGAGGAAAAGGCCAGGGCGGCAGCTGCTACCGTGTTCAGCGGTCAGGGCGGCACAGGCTCGGGCTGCCCACGAGTCAGGTCTGCACACACGTGTCACAGACACACTTCTGTGTGACTCTGCCAGGACCCACACACCAGCCTGAGGCACGCCCGGCACCTCGTGGAGGCCTCTGAGCTGCTTGCACACCCATGTCCGTGTCTGCTCCAGGCCTCTTTCCACCTGCCAAGGTCTGGGTCCAGCAGCCGCAGCCTCCATTTTCGGTCCCCAAGACTGACACCATGAGTGGGAAATGAAGCATCTTTAATTGGTTCCTTGCCCCAACCCCCCGCCCCGGGTCGGTGGGGGGCGGAGATCTCCAAGCACCAAACATGTGAGAACTGTGCCCTTCAGCCTCAGAACCAAGAAGCCCTTGCCTGACTTTCACTGGGCCTGGACCCCCACTCTTAACCCCTGCGACCAGCCCCGTAGGCTTTGTTTCAATAAATAACCCCTAGAACAAAGCTTGGGGCAGGGGATCCAATAAAGCATCCAGCTCGGCAACAGGCAGAGGGGGCTTCAGGCAGAAGGCGGGAAATCTCAAGGGGCAGAATATCTGAAATCAGGGTCAAAACACACATAAAATCAGAGCCAGCGCTCGAGCTGGGAATGACTCCTCCCAGGCCTCCGTCGGCTGCCCGATGGTCTCCCAGGATGCTGGCTCCTGCTGTCAGGAAGAACTCCATTTTGCCTCATACAGCGACAGTCCCCTGCCTGGCAGTTCCACAACCCGACACTCCTAGTTCCTATCTTGACTCTGAACTCTGGGCAGGGGAGGGAGAGGAGGGCCCAGAAACCTAGGGAGGGAGCATCTGGGGAAGGGGGCTGAGACTTCCGAGGTACAGAGGAGTCCGGAGCAAGGCAGAGGAGTAAGGCCACGAGCCCAGGTCACTGGCGGGCCCTGCCCCGGCGGGTACGGAGGGGACCTGCGGCTTGAGCCTGTGCCCGGGTCACCTCACCCATCTCCCTGCGGATGTCACCAAGCGCTGTTGCCGGGGACTCCAGCAGCCTCTGGAAGAGGCTAGGCCGGCCGGCTGGTGGCTCCCGACACTGGAAGGTGACAGCTGTGCCAGCATCGGCCTTCATTTCCCTAGAGAAGCCGTCAGAGGAGCCATCGAAGCAGCGGCCGATGGCGATCTCCTTGGCCAGCCTCGGGCTCTGGTCGGTGACCGTGTAGACACCGTAGTTGTGGCCCAGAGGGTCGAGCGGGGCCAGCATGGCGAAGGCAGCCGGGTCGTCAGCTGGGGCGGGTGGGGGGTGCCGGGCCAAGTAATCCCGCAGGAGTCCGTTGACTGCCACTCGGCGGCAGCTGCCCTGGGGCGTGATGGTCACCAGCGTCCGGTCCACCTGACGTTGATCAAATAGCATCCCGCTGCACTTGAACTCCACACAGGCCGCGGACGTGCCGGGGTGCTCGGGGTCTCGGACGCTCCGGGCGTCCCGAAGCCCGTAGAGCTGGCCCTGGGTGCGCGGGTGGCTGCCCCCAGCGTTGTGGGAGCGGACCATGTACTCCTGGGGGCCCTGGATCTTCACCTTGAGGAAGCAGGCCCGGAACTCCTGGGGGTTGGGCCACCAGGCCAGGAGGTCCCCAGTCCAGGAGGCCGGCACGCCCTCGCGGAACGGGACCACGTTGTACTCGTACTTGTCTGCCTCCACGCGCGCGAAGCGGAAGTGGCTGGCGGTCACCGGGGCCTCCTGGCATTCTCGCAGGCTGCGCCACGGGTACACCGGGCCGTTGGCCTCGGCTGGGTCGCCGGGCCTGGGTTTAGCGAGGTTGATGCGGAAGCCGTTGCGTTTGAGGGCTGGGTCGTCGTGGTCGGTGCGGCGGTAGCCTAGCTTGTCCAGGTAGGGCTGCGCCACGCCCACGGTGGCCGCGTCCGGGCGGGGCCGGGAGGGCGCGGGCTCCAGCTCCTCCCCGCCCAGGGTGGCCGTGACCAGGGCAGTGTAGGCGTCCGGCCGGTCCGTGTCGCAGAAGGCGGGGAGGCAGGCGCCGTTGGGGCCGGTGACCGCGCTGTCGAAGCGGCCCCAGGCACGGGGGTTGGCCGCGAAGCCGGGGGCAGCCTCCAGGTTGACCAGCGTGACCACCACACCCTCCACCTGCTCGTTGGGCGTGAACTTGTCGTTGGCATAGGCGCGCACCTTCACGAAGCAGCGGCGGCGCTCGGGCACGTCCAGGTTGAACAGACGCCGCTCGCGGATCTCCACGTTGCCCACTAGGAAGACCCTCTCCTCCCTGCGGACCCGAGGGGCTGCTGACCCCTCTCGCTGGAAGCCGCTCTCCTCCTCCCACAAGCCTGTGTCAGGGTTCAGTGACCACAGCTTCAGGGCCTCCACGTGGCCCGCCATGTGGATCTGGCCGGCATTGACACGCACGGCCACCGGCCCTGCCTGCAGCTGCTCCGCCGAGCCCGCGGCGCGGAGGTCCACCGCGAACATGCCATAGGTGCGCAGCGGGGCCAGCTCACCGTCACTGTCCACAAAGCGCAGGTCGCTGGGGGCGGCCGCCGCCGAGGTGAGATCTCGGGGGTCCACGAAAGTCACCCGGGCCTCCACGGCCCCCGTGTAGGGTGCACCATCGGCTCTGCGGAAGGCTCCGGGCGGGAGGACCAGCTCGCCCAACGGGTCCTCCTCCTCCAGCTCCCCAAGAGGGATCGTGTTGCTCTGGCTGGCATCTAAGATGACAGGGGCTTTCTTCCGCATGGCTTTGACATCGTGGTATACGCCACCACCTCGAGGGGCAAAAGGCAGAACTCTGACAGTGTCCATGAACTCCCCACTGGGGTCCACGAAAGTTACCACCAGCCGCTGGGTGGAGGGCGGCACCTCGATGGTGAAGTCGCCCTGATAAGATGTGAATCCAATGGGCTCCCGGCCTAGCAGGATCTGGGCAAAACGCAGGGGTTCCCCTGAGTCGGTAGCCACCACGCGTCCCCGAACCAGCCCCCGGGGGGGCAGACATTTCTGACAGCCACACTCAGCCACCACTTTGACGGGGAGGACATAGTTGGAGCAGTGGATCTCCTTGCTCTCCAGGCGGCGAACGGAGCAGCAGCGGGACCCTGAGTCCCCACACCGGGAGCTGGAGCCTGCAGGGCTGGGGCAGAGGGTGTCAGAGCAGAGACCCACGTCCAAGTAGGCGGGGCCACTGCCAGGCTGGCCACAATCATCTGGGAGCTTGATCAGATGCTCTTGGGGCTGGGGATTGCAGGCTGGCTGGCCCGGGGCTGCAGAGCAAGAAATCAGAGCAGATCAGAGTAAGGGGGGGGGCTCCATTGAAGCCAAGGTTGGGGCCTGGATTGGGATCAGGGACTCAACCCAGGGGCTCAGTGGGGGCCCGGGATCAGACTCAGCAGGGTCAGAGAGCAGTCTGCAGCTGGGGCGCCATTTGGGGTTGCTTTCGCTGGTGATGGGCCTCGGCTAAGTTTCAGGGCATGCTCAGGGTTGGGGGGCTGAGGGTGCTCACCCAGCACGGTGAGCCGGGCGCTGCTCGAGCGCACGGTGCCCGCATCGTTCCATGCTTTGCAGTGATAGGTGCCTGCCTGGTCTGGGCGCAGCCCCCGCAGCTCCAGATGGGCCCCATACCTGTGTTCTCGCCGGTCCAGCAGGGTCCCATTGTGGAACCTGGGTGGCAGGTGGGCAACACCAGGGGGCCCTCAGCACAGGGAAGGGGCTGCATCCGTCCCCCATCCCCCATGCAGCCCAGCAAGGTTGTAGAGCATCTTTCTCCCAGTCTCTGAAGCACCACATGTCATGGAAAATCCAATCAAACCGCAAAGCTGGGTGCAAGGCCCTTGGGCATGGAGCAGGGCACTCACCAGGAGTATTTCTTGGGCATGGGGGTGCCTGAGGCTTTGCAGCAGAAGGTTACGTTCTGGCCAGCCTCTCGCACTCGGGACTCGGGGTGCTTCACCAGGTAGGGTTTCTCTGGGGGCAAAGGTGGCAAAGGTCCTGCCCCATCCCAGCTTCTCCCAACAAACCTTCCCAAGGGCAGGGCCCCATCCTTGCCCTTCCAGGGATGCCCTGTTTCACCTATGGCTCTTCTGGTGACCTCTCCATTCAAGTTCACCCCATGGCTGCTTAAGATGGTGCCGCCCCATCTTAATGCTGCCCCCCTGCAAGTCCCTGTCTCATCTCGCGCCTTCTCCAACTTCTCCCAGTGTATTTGTTCCTCCCATGGCACCATATTTAGCGTTATGCTCTCTCCAATGGCTGTGTCACATCTTATTTCTTCCCCAGTGACCTCATTCTGCACCACATCCTCCCAAGTGTCACCCAGAATTTCCTTCTTAGCTTCTCAGCCTCCTCACCCTCCTTGCCCTGGGGCACTTACCCAACTTATTAAGGACAACAGTGACCACAGCAGAGATAGAGCCATTGGCCTGGGCCTGGCCCAGGCCTGCAGAGAAGCCATCCATTTGGGCACTGATGTTGGCCCGGCTGCTGGCACACACTCCAGGAATCTGGAAGGTCCCATGGGCATCGGTGATGGCCACAGTGCCAGGCCAGTCTCTCAAGGAGACCCTGGCTCCTGGCAGTGGATGCCCAGATGGGGTGACCACCGAGCCCAGGAGGATGTGGTCAGGACAGTTGCAGGTCTTGGAGCTGCAACCTGGGGGACAAAGGCAGACAGAGGAACAGAGGAGCCTCTTCACTCCCTCCTTCCACTCAATCACTCAGCAAAGATGCCTAGACCCCCCCCCCC